TTCATACATGTATGCCTCGACCTTGCCCACACACGGGATCAACTAAGTCCTAGAGGAGAACAACACAACGTCCACTCCAAGGGACAACTACCTAAGGAAGGTTTTTCAACAAATTAGACTCTTAGAGCACCACAACACTCTCAATCTACATAATGGGATGAGCAACTTCGAAAATATCTCTCCTAGTCCTAGTGATTGATAACTCGTCATCACAGTTCAATCAACTTACAACTCAACAACACAACTCAGCTCAACAACTTAAACAATACACAACTTTTAACAACACAATGACTCCTCAACAATGTTTAACAACATGTTTTAGCAACAAAGCAACTCATTCAAAACATACCTACGACAAATACTCAACTATAACTTCTCATCATACCACAACATTCAACATTTCTTAATCATAGAATCAAACACATTCATGCCCCACGCAAGTAAACTCAGGCCCGACCTGAACCCAACCCAAGAGCTCTAAAGCTCTTTCAGGTCCGACCTAATGCCATTACGCTCGACACACTTGAAGGTAGAGACTCCCAGAAGTCTCTCATGCCCCGCGCACTTGACTCGTGCCTGGTGCAAAATCAGGCAGAGACCTCACAAGGGTCTCGTGCCAGACGCACTCCTCCTGCGCCTGGCGTCACCCCAGGCAGAGACCCCCAAGGAGTCTCTACGCCCAGCGCGCCCAGATTGCGCTCGACGCCATATCAGTAACCAAAGATACAAGACAAACATCTGATATCGCGTCCGACGTGGTTCTCTCACGCCCGACGTGAATTCATCCAGAGACTCTCAATCTCAATCACGCCCGTTGCAACTACCCTCGCGCCCGGCATGATTTGAAACTGAGTGCTTCTAATGAATTCATGCCCGGTGCCAAGAACATGCGCCTGTCGCAACTTCAAACAACCAACCCCAAAACTTCAAAATTTTCTTCAAAAACCTGAAAATCAACCAACTCAAACACATGCAATCCATGAAATGAAGTACCTTAACTTCATACAGCTCAAAAACAAGCTTTATTTCAACATGCAACCATCAAACGCATCAAAATTACCAAATTCCCAATTTTTTTTCTCGAAACCCCGAAAATTTGAAATTCTCCAATCCAACCATGAATTCTTATAATTCATACATCAATTTGAGTTTCTAAACTCAAATACAACGAATCAATCTATAATCTAGCTTCTCTCACCTGAAAATTGGCTCAAAATGGCCAAGAATAGTAAGAAGAAGAAGATTGTCCCTCCGAGCTCAATCCACAGACTTCAATCCTCCAGAACCAACTTCTTCGCCTGAATTTAAGAAAAGAAAGAAGGAATTAGTGACCTAGAGGAGAAGAAGATTCAAATAGAGAAGTTTGGGAGAGAAAGGAGCTCACGGACCAGATTCATTCTCTCTAAAATCTCTCTCTAGGTTTCTTTGAGAATGAACTTATAAGGCTATGTTCTCAGAGAAAGCCTTAAATACTATTCCCTCTAGCATTCACTAATCTTGAACCAACCTACTACGTCACAAAAAATATTAAGTAAATTACATTTTTATCCCTTAGGGATATAGGCATTATACCATATCTCTCTTCTGTTATATTAATTTAGAAATTTTTTTGGTACCATGGTATTGATAGGAGTAGCGATGACAAATAAACATGTACCTGTAGGTAATGTCTTAACTTGTCAAGACTTTGACGTAAATTATTTAGTTTGATTGGATACAAGTACGAGTACGAGTAATACTTGATTTATTAAATGGAGTGTGGGGACAATATATGTATATAGTTACCCGCCATGTACTCGTACTCATCCCCGATTTCACTTTGAATTTCTAGAAATTGATTATTTTTTTAGAATTTATGTAATTTTTATTCTATCTTAAATTTATTTCAAATGAAATTTAATTAATGTAACTTTATATTTTTTTTACTCTATGTTAAAAAAATTTATATACTTTTTTTGCAAAAAGATATTTAATTAATTTTTGAGCGAGTATAGATATACTCTATATCTAATATCTATTTACTGACTTCGTCGAAAACTAGTCTTCCTTATAATCTTAATTGCATTAAGGTTATCCCTTACATGATCATCTTTTATCAAGTTTAAGATTCAAACTCGATACCTTAAAATTTGAAGACCAACTCTAATCAAGTTGGACCAACGTACGTTGCTTAACTTAAAATATTTAACTTAACATCGTCAAAGAATAATTATTATAAGATTTAAAATATAATTATTCATCAAAAATATACTTTTAATTTAATTACTCATAAAAATAATTTTAGTTAAAATATATTTTCATATGCTTTTAATTGTTTCTCATTCATTCACTTGATTAAAAAAATTGCATAATACATAATTAAATTTAAATTAATTTATCAAATAATAAAAAATAGAAGCTATAAAATAAATTCAATTAATATTTAAATATATGTGTATATATATATAAGTATTAAATTTTGTAATAATTAATTTTTTATTTAATGATAATTTTTTAATATAAATATATTCATTTAATAGTATTATATTAATTAAAAAGAATAAATTATTAGTTTATTAAAATATTATTTAATACCATGATCAGTTGAATAATATTTCAACACTTATATATTACATTTAATATATATATAATTAATACTATATAATAAAAATATTACTTTATTTAAATACTTATACAAATACTACATTAATTATACATTGATTAAATACTATTTCGATGCTTATATTTGATTTTATTATACTTATACATGCATATTATTTTTTTATTTTGATATACAACTTTAAATATTTTGTAAAAATAATAATGAAAATATCTTTTAAAATATATAATTAATTATAGAAAAAATTATGATATTTTTTTAAAATAATAATTAAATATATAAATCAAAAGATATTTGTTAAAGTAATATATTTAAATTTATTAAGGAAGAAAAATGTTTATTTTAATATAAAAAGTGAGGATGGTGTAATATTTATATTTCTTATGGAGTGTTAATGTTAAAGGTGTTTTCGTAATAATTTTTTAAATAAAAGTTAACACAACTTAATTTAAAAAATAAAATAAAATATTATATATTGAAATCTTCAAAAAAATAATAATTATAATTTATAATATAAGAGAAAAGCCATATAATATTCATGGTCTTGGACTCTTGGGGCAATTTCTAAGAAATATAATTTACTTAAAAAAAAGTTATGATCTATGACTCTTGGTGCAATGAATTTTTCCTATTTTTTGGTATTGAATTTAATATTAATTATTTTTAATATTATTTTTGGTTGGTATAAAAGCTACACATTTAGTAAACTTATATAACAGATATAATAATATATTATATTCCATGAATATAATATTTATTATTAAATAATATTGTTTGTATTAATTATGTATCACATTAATGTAATCGTAAAGTGAATTTCATGTTTTCTTTTGACTAAGAAGTGAATTTCATGTTATGTACAGTTAATCGAAAAAAAATATGATCAAGGGAAAATATCTCATATAATACAATGAATTTGATTTTTTTAGAAATGAGTTATTAATAAAACTATTAAATATTTTATATTAATGATATAATTATTAAAAATATTTAAAAGTATATTTTATAGATAATAAGAGAAAGAAAGAATTTTTTTATGAGTCCTCGTAGAACTTTGAAATTGTCTTGGTGAAGTTTCATTATCCAATTCACCTAAACAACTAAACTTTCATTTAGAAAAATATTAACTTTGAATATGAACAAAATATTTTTTAATCATTGTTAATTAAATTATTGTTTCTAATGCATCTTAAGGGTGACATAGCTAATTAAGTACTTTTACTTTTTGCACCTAAAATTTGAAATTTCTTATATTTTATATCTTTTTATATAGACTTGTGTAAAAAATAGGATAAGTAATTTATAATCTTACTAAAAATCTATCGTAAACACAATTTTAGATATGAGTGAAAATAATTTATCACAATTATCTCAAAAAAAGAATGATACATATTTGAAGCAATAAATTAAAAAATGATGAAGGTGAAAAAATATTAGATAATTAAATTAAGGGATATTTGATATTTTTTCTACACTCGATAATCATGATTTAAGGAAATAATAGATTTATGAAAATTATACATACAAAGGTCATGATCCTTAATAATAATTAAGATTTATTTTATCAATTATAAATACTTTTAAGAAATATTTATACATGTTACTTAATAATCAAATTTTGGTATAACATTAAATAAGTAAATAAAGATAATAGGATACTTTTATCACAATTTAAAAAGAAACAGATCTTTGTTTTCATATAAGATATTTTTGTAAAAAATCTATTTAATTTTTTTTTCCAATAAATATCTTTTAAAATTAAAAAAAATTAACAATTTCAATCTCAAATTCTTCGTAAAGAAAATTTTGTTTCGTATACCAATCTTCTCCTATCGAGAAAAATAACATAAACGAAAATTTTAATTTTTAATTTGTAAAAGTTAATTTTTATTTAATTTCTAACTAAATAAAAATACATTGTTACTTTTTCTTTCATAAAAAAAAAGGAGCAGGAGCATATTGAATGGATGCTTGTTGGCGCATGAAGGAGCATATTCATTTAGCAAAATGCACCCAACCAAAAGCAGCGGCGAATAGAGGCTCAATTTCGCAATCAAGAACATGCACTTTTTAGCTTTGCTTCAATCGCTACGATTTTGATTTTGACTCACACTAACCTTCCCAAAAGACAAATTCCTCCCCCTTCTCTCTCTCTCTCTTCGCATCATTTTCATTAATGTTTTTTAAAATATTTTTTTAAATTTATTTATATATAAACTAATTTTAACTTTAAGAAAAAAATAATGTGGCCTAAATTTTTCCTTATTAAAATTAAATTGTATTTTTCCCGAATGAGCGTATTTATTTATAGTAAAAGAAAGACGTTTTCTTATTTAGTGGCATTGTTCATGGATGAGCAATATAATATAATATTATATTATATTGGTGTATAAAACGACGTCGCGCGGTGACCACCAGCCGCGAACACATGAAAAAGCCGAATCTCGTGGAAAATACAAAGACCCGCCACCACGGGTAACAGAGCTCGAAATTCTCTCTGCTCTGCTCCAAACCCCTTCTCTCTGAAACCGAACAACACAAACCCTAACGCCTCCGCACATGGCCTCCTCGCTCCTCCAATCTTCTTCCTCTTCTCTCTTCGCCGCCAATCTTCCAACCTTAGGTCTCGTTGACCATTCCCGCGCTCGAATCTCCCTGCTTCCCACTGTGGTAATCCACTCTTCATTCCTTTTTTTTTTTTTTTTTTCCCTTTATCCTGCATTTTTTTTTAAATTGTTAATTTTCACACGCGGTTCTGTTAATGCCAGAAATGTGATATGTCGGAATCGTCGAATTTAGTGAACGGGAAACCGATCATTCCCGTTCTTAACGAACGGACTTTGCCCAAGTTCATGGAATCTGCCAGGTCGGAGAAAACCGTCAGGAACAGTAACAGGTTGAAATTGTTCTCCGGCACCGCTAATCCTGCACTCTCTCAGGTTGTTTGCCTATTCATTACTTTACTATTTAATGAATGCTCGAATTAGTTTTGATTCCCGAGGGATGAAAATCAATGTGTATTTCGGTGGGATTAATTTGACCGTTGAAATTAACGTTTCTCGACTTCAGATTGTGTTGAAGGTGTCATCTGGCACAGTGGTGTGTACTGGTGTGCGTTAATTTGTTTTTGTAAACATGATTGATACTGTAAAAGCTTATTTTTTTGAATTCAGAATCCAGTATCTCCATGCTGTTTTGGTTGCTTGTTTTAGATAAAGTTGGTATGAGGCTTGTTTTTTTGTTGTTTTTTCTAAATGTTTTGCTTTGATTAGGAAATTGCTCGGTACATGGGCCTGGAACTGGGAAAGATTTCCATCAAGCGGTTTGCTGATGGTGAAATCTATGTCCAATTACAAGAGAGTGTTAGAGGTTGCAATGTATACCTTATACAGCCTACCTGCCCTCCTGCAAATGAGAATCTCATGGAGCTTAAAATAATGATTGATGCTTGTCGGAGAGCATCGGCCAAAAATATCACTGCTGTGATTCCGTACTTTGGATATGCCAGAGCAGACAGAAAGGCAAGTATTTTGTATGTAACTGATTTTATTTTGTAATCAGTAGTTTTTTTCCAAAGGGTCCACGTATGATCCCCGATGGCAGACAAGATTCTCCCCTCGTCATTGGTTTATTAGTTTTTGCTTTTGTGTACTCTTGTTCTCTTTCTGGAAAATTTTCCCACTGATTTGTGATTTTTTATGTATCTGTTCAATTTCCCCATTCCCTTGTGTTCTGTTAAATGGAGAAATAATTTGTAGTCGTCTGTTATCTTATTGAAAAATTAATCTTGGGTTGGTTTCATGCTTTTGCTTAATGATTTTTACTTGAAGTTAACAAATAGGTTTTCATGCAAATGAAATTAGGATTTTTTTTGAAAAATATTTTTTTCTTCCTTTACAGACTCAAGGGCGTGAATCAATTGCAGCCAAACTTGTTGCAAACCTTATTACAAAAGCTGGGGCAGACCGTGTTCTAGCTTGTGATCTTCATTCAGGGCAATCCATGGGTTACTTTGATATTCCCGTTGATCATGTACACTGTCAAGTAAGTAAGCTCTTAGTGATTGTGATTGCACTTTATTTCCTAGCAGGATGTTTCCTAATACCAGGGGTGGCAGCTGCCACCCACAGATTTTGAAAATTTTATTATAATATATGTAAATATCATTTATCGCCCCTCCAACTGTTTATTACTTTTTATATTTATTATTTTATTAAAATATTTTCTTTATTTTTTCATAAGTCTTTCTCTCTGTTCATCAATTATCTTCTTTTTCTCTCCTATTTGTGTTGTCTTTATTCTTTTTTAAGAATACCCATGGTTATTGTTTATTTCTATACTATTTTTGAGTATGTTTGGATACGAATTAGAAGTATTTGTGAGAACTTCTATTAGAAAAAAAATTCTTTATTTTCAATAGAGAAATTCTAAAAAGTTCTTCTATATTTGTATCCAAATAAACTCTATATCTTTGTTTTAGCTATTCATACATTTACTCAATTTATGTTTGTCCATAATTACTTTTTTTCTTTGTCGATTTTCTCTTTTATTTTTATTCATTTTCTCATTTATTATTTGTATTAAACTTTTATTTGTTAGCATGCCCTTTCACACTTGTGTGTTTTTACATTTATGTTAGACTTGTCAGTTTTCATTTGTATTAGACTCACTTGCCATTCTTATTTTGCATTTACACATCTTATTCTTAGTGTCACATTTTTTATTAGTTCTTAATTTATTATTCCCCATCATAACATTCCTTGCACCTCACTTTTCTCTCAACTTATTATTAAAATTTGTTATACATTTTGTTGTACAAATAACATTCCTCAACTTACTATTGGAATATTTTAGTAGTAGTTTAAAGTAGATTTAAAATAACATCTTATTTGAGTATGTTTTTTTTTTACTTTTATTTTATTTTTATCTAAGCATCTAAATATGTAGTGTTTTTTATTCCAAGTATTTTTAATGTGTGACACATCCAAACATACATTATGCATGTTGTTAAAAAAATTATTGAAATGTTCTCTTTGATTTTGGCCCCCCTCAATCCAAAATCCTAGCTATGCCCTGGCCTGATACTATTGTTTATGATGTCCTCTAGCCTGTCATCCTTGATTATCTTGCCAGTAAGACAATAAGTTCAAGTGATTTGGTGGTTGTTTCTCCTGATGTTGGTGGTGTTGCAAGGGCACGTGCTTTTGCAAAGAAATTATCTGATGCACCTTTAGCTATTGTAGACAAAAGGCGCCATGGACACAATGTTGCTGAGGTAATACGACAACAAAATCTGTGCCTCATCCCTGACATGCTAAGTTTCTTTTGAATTGTCATTTATGTATGTGAATATTCCTTTAAACAGATATTATTGGGTTTTCCTTGGGGTTCATTATCAATATTTTCCTTCTTTCCAGAAATAAATTTGACAACTCTGTGACACTTTGCTAATCAGCAAAAGTAGTCATTGATAATGTCTATTTGATGAGTAGTATGTTAAATGGTTTCTTTGGCATTCTCTTTATTTTCATTTAAATTTCATCTAAAAATTATGGATCTTCATAACTAAGAAGCCTCCTTGCTTTTATATCTGCCCAGCATGAGTTTGAAGTGTGCTCAGTTCTATTTCAGATGCATAGTAGGTTAATGCATGGTATTGTAGAAGTTACAGTGATATTTGTATCTTGTAATCTTGATTAGGTTTTTTAGGTATGCTTAGTATTTGTTGTTCCTTTTAGATTGTGATAAAATTGGTATTTGTAGAATCAGTTGGGATCCATGCCCCCTGATACAGAGGCACTCGGGGTTCATTGTTTTTTACAGAATGTGCTCATGGTTTAGCTAGTTGTAGTATACTAATTATCGTCAAGTTTAAATCAAGGTTAACTACATGGACATCTCAATGTATATTTATCTGTGTTATGTTTGCCCTGCAGGTGATGAACCTGATTGGTGATGTAAAAGGAAAAGTTGCAGTAATGGTGGATGATATGATTGACACAGCTGGTATGCCATCTTCAATGCTCAATTAAAATTGGAAGAGATTGTTTCTTATGTTTTTTTGTTGCACATGGTGGTTACTTGCTGGGTCAAAGAAATTTAACTAAGCAAGCAAATTTTTATCTTGTCTTTATTAATTAAAGTTTTCTGGACTTTCTAAATTTTAGTCGACAGCCTTTCTTATCTTCTCTCTAATATTCATTTGTGGCTCTGGTGCTGATAAGCACCCAAACACCTGGGAAATCCTCCCTTAAAATCTAGTTGTCAAAGGGGGAGAACCAAGCCACTTAATTACTCTACACTGAGCATCTCATACTACTCAATGTGGGACTTGTACACTGCATAATAATGTAGTCTCTATCAAGTGGCCTGCCTTTCAATTTTGCTTAGTGCGTTTTCTTGGACTGGCCATGCCATAAGATTATACTCATCAGAATGTTTTTAGCATATTTTGGTATTCTTAATTTTTAGTATTTTCATCAGAATTTTTATAAGCACATATTCTTTGAGGGAACTGCTGAATCTAGCTTTAAAGACTAGAAATTAATTAAAGAATACACACTATCTTAAGACACTGTTATTGAGGGGTGAGGGGGGATTCAGTTCGATTCTAACCCATCCATGTGCCTGGGAGATGGTTGGTTGCTATTAAATTTTTCAACATGCATTTCCTTAAGGAGTATTTATGGTGTTTCCTCTTTCCC